TGCCTTGATTGCATTTGTAGATGTATTGTGATACAAAGAGTTTTCTGTTGTCAGGTAATTTAATGTTGCTTTTGCAAAGGACAACTCTTAAGTACTTGGCAGATGCCTATATATGACTTCTTGAATTTTGTGCATAAGTCACATTTTTGGAGTTGCAGTTTAAATTTTTATTTGTTGTGAATGTAGTTGTGGGGTTTTCATAAGTGTAGAAGTTTCTGTCTATAATGACATCACAAACCCCACATCTTTTTTTGTTGTACTTTGTGACCCCCTGTATATTATGTTGGTTAAATTTGGATGAGGTTAATATATATTTCAGGTTTTTAGATTGGCATTTGCTTTTAATTATTCTGGTTGTTTTTAGTATATTTTTCATTGTGTCATTCTTGTTAAGTAAGTCTAGATTTCTTGTAATTTCCATAAATAGTTCTGGATTGTTCTTATTGTATGTTGAGACATATGTTAGGGTTTGTTCAATGTTATGTTTTTTTGAATTTTGTAGTTGGTCTAGGTGTTTTTTCTGCTAGTTCAAAACCATTGTTTATTACTGTTGTGATGGATTTCAGACAGCTTTTTGGGTAATGGCTCCTTGAAATGAAGACATTGTTGGGTGTCTGTAGATTTGTGGTAGATATCTGTGATTATGCGCTTGTTTCTATTTCTAATGAATATCATACTCATTGGAAATAGAAAGGATAATTTAGGGATAGGAAAACATTTCTCATCAACACATCTATCATAACCATCTCTCAGACCAAACCTAATGGTTTTATTACCACTTAGGTATATATTATCAAGAACTCACTTCCTTAATAAATTGACCATGATGAGGATCAACCCCCAGATTATATGGCCAGGAAGGTAATGTTGTAACCACTGAAGCAGGCTCCTATTAGATTTGGTTTGTTTTGCTTTACAGCAAATCAGCCTTAATGTGTTATTTAATGACAACAAAACTATTTACAATAAATTTGTATGAACAGAATATGTATTCTTTGTAAGATATCAGTTTGTAGATCAGGTTTCATTGACATATTTTTGTAAAGAGGATTTCTGTCAAGATTTTTTTCTCCAAAAATGTATTGCTGGCAATAATTTTTAAAAAAATGCATTGCTAGTATTTTCACTATGAAAACCTATTTTTACACTATCAGAGGGTTTTGACACCAGTTTGGGAGTTAACTATTTGCCCATAGCTAGGATCCTAACAGGTGCTACCACCCCAAGTTGGGGTGGACTTGGGAACAACAATTAAGAGGTGGTTCTACACCTCAAAACCTACTGATCAGAGGCCTTGCTGCCAGATGTAGTTTATTGTCATACCCAGGGTGTCTCATTGGGTGGGGGTACCCCTCTGCAAAGGAGCATTCGGCATATCCTGACGCCCGAGCTAACAGAGTATTTACCAATTAGATTTTATAGTTAACAAATACTAAAAACTTCAAATCCCTTAATGTATGGATCAATTATAACAAACTTAGGAGAGATAAGAAGACTAAACATGGACGGGATAAGAAGACTAAACGTAGAACAGACTGCAATACGAGTAGTTTCATCCATACCCAATGTCATACATGGTACCAAAACTTTTCAGAAATATTTGAATTGTTACTATCGCATTCTCAAATCAATGAATAAAACTGGTTTTGAGTGAGTGAAGACCATAGGTCTTAACAAAGACCACTCTTCTTTGAATTTTGTGGTCCGGCACTAGAGATTCACAAAAGAACTGCCCCAAATAACAGAGGCAACATCACTTGAGGACTTTCAAAAACAGCAACAATTAAAAATGGATAGTCCATGTAACTTGAAGAGAAAATAATAGCATAATTTGGATGCTGATATTCTACACTAAATCAAAGAAAAGATTAGACAGGGAAGCCCTATCAATACTGAAAATAATAATAACAGCAAATGGAGCCTATTTTCCTAAAAAATCTGTTTTAAGACCAAGATTTTAGCACTGGTGTGGCCATATTCTATCATTCCAAGAGATTTGCTAAACAAACAGTCAACTCCATGTTGTGTTCAGTCTTTTGTCACAGTTGGCTGAAGCTGTCAAGTTTGGGGTATACTCACAAGGGGATGAAGCTGAGAAAAGATTCACCTTGACACACTGAAGATAACAAGTCAGTGTTTGTATGGAGAATCCACTTTTATTTTTCCAACAGCAGTTCTGGTGAGATGGCGATTTATGTAACACTGTGGCAACAGACAAACACTCTGTACCAGCCTGATGACACTTTTTGTATAGATGAATAACACCTACACCTCTTTCTTATTACTTCTGTTATATACCCGGTCCCATTACCTAAACAATTGAACCCTTTCTGTTCAGTCAGTTAATGCCAAATGTTTTCTTTTAAGGAAACAGCTAATATTACTGTTACTACTAATTAATCATGAAAATCCTTATGCTCATTTATAAAGAGATTTTGCTCTTATCAACACAGCAATGTTAGTTTTAAAAACAAGAAATAATTTTAAAAATCTTTAATTTTTGTATATGGAAGCACACAGTTTCACTAAACCAACATTCTCAAGCTGCATCTTCTGATATAAATTCTGCAAGTTTGCATTAGTATTATTAAATGCATGCTCTAGGTCAGTGCTTTAGTGTGATTAATGACTTGTTCTTTCTTTATGAAATACTAGCCGAATTACCAGCGCCTTGCTGCATGTTTTTTTCTGTATTTTTTTGTAAGAAAATGAGGACTGATTTTAAATCATTCTTATAATTTGTGGAGAAAAATGATGCTTTTCAATATTACTCAACAAACTTGACAATGTGATCTCCATCTTCTGGGTTTCTCCTATATTTTGAATAGGAGTCATTCCCTTGTTCAAATTTAAACTAAAAGGTAATTAAAAAAAAAAAAAAAAAAAAAATCAGTGGAGTGAGGATGCAAAAACAGCTTGATCTGGCTCCTTAGATATGTATTTGATACAATATCTGATTGGATGAATTAATGAGCAGATTTCAACATTGATATGAGAATTGAATTGTTGCAACAAATATGTATCATAAGGCGCTATCCACTGATGGGTGATTTCTTGCTCAACTTGACATTCATGTTGTCTCATTTTGATCTTGCCGATGTGACCTCAATCTTCTGGCTTTCTCCTTCTGTATTTTGGGTAGGAGGCATTCCCTTGTTCAAATTTAAATTTATTTTAAATCAAAAGGAAATAAATTTCAGTGGGGGAGTTTGCTGGTTTATTTCTTTTCAATAGTTTTTATCTATATTTACAAACAAATCCGATTTAGAATTTCTCTAATTTATGCGGTTAGAGTTTAAAGAGTGGAGTGACCATAAAAAAGATGTTATTATAGTTCCAATTGAAGAATAAAATCTTTAATTTTGAAAAGTGACAGAACATTGATAAAAAAGCATAACCATTAAAAATAAAAATCTACATATATTCAAATAAAATAAATATGACACACTGATCCTTCAACAATAATTAAAAAAAAATTATTTGGGAAAGAACTTAATTCAAACATTTCTATTTTCTTATTGAATGATAATCAGAAAAATAATCTTCGATTTTCCAAATTTTGTCTATTCATTGTTCATCAGGTATGTTAAAAAAAAGTGGATCATACAAAAAAAATGAAATTAACCTTTAAGCGTTTCAATCTGAACAATATCTGGGTAAGCTTTTTTCTTTCAATTTTTTTATATAGTTTTGTTGACTTTTTTTTTTTATTATTATTTTAGGAGTGAATCAGTGACCAGAATCTGTTACTATGGACACAAACTAGTCTGTGACAAAAAATGCTTAACCCTCAGTGTGTCTCGCATACTTTAAAATTCTAGGCGTTTAAAGTTGCGAGAAAAAAAAAAGAAGGAGGGTGGGGGATTATCGCAACTTTGATAATTCTGAGTATTTGTCCTAGTTATCCCTTTGGTTTCCACATAAAAAGGAAAAAAATCCTCCCGACTTGTCAGAACAATTTATATAAAAGTTTGTCTTTTCTTTTTTTTCATAATGAACAGATGGTATTAAAATTTAAATTAACAAGTTTTTAAAGGAAACTAAAAATCTTACCGACAACATTGACGATTTTTTTTTAATCGTTCTTAGAAACGATTTATTTTTATTTATTATTTCTACAAGATTAAAAAAAAAAGAAATCTGAAGCTAGAAAAAAATTGTAGAAACGTTTTTTTTTTAAATTAATTAAAAAGCAAATGAACCATGTACGTGTGCACTTTATCGTGACATTGTAAATTACTGGTTTTAATTTGAATTTAATGTTGATTTCTGCAAAAGCAACTTAAAACAAGTGTCCGATGTAGAAGTAATAATTAGTAGTAAAAAAAGTATACTTGGCAAGATGATCTATGTTCTATGTTCATCACTTAAATTGTGCGACTAAAACTAAAAATAATAACAACAATGCATAAATTGTCATGCAAATTAAAAAGGTGTAAGTAAGAAGTATTCAAAAAATAATCTTGCTGGTAATAAATCACAATACAATTTTCTAAAAGAAAAAAAAAATCATTGCAATGTTTAAGCTGCGTTGTCGTACCACACAAACAAAAATTACACAACAGTTTAAATTTTAATGTTTTTTAATAAATAAAAACAGTGAAAGGCTAGTATGAGAAATGACAAATTTTGAGTTGACAATGTTTTTGATATACAAAAAAAAAAACGCAAAAAAAAAAAAAAAACTGCAACGTGTCGATGTTTGAACAGGGACGAGGAAGTAGTAAGAGGCATTAGCTTATATAGAGAGAGAGACTGGAGGTGGGGAACATACACGAATACAAAAAAGGGATGTATTAAAAAAAATATAGCCTTCGTCGTTGGAGTCACACATGTAAGGGTATGTCATCATGATCCACGCCTATTAACTCGGTAATTAAACACTAAACAGTTACGATTGTAGCGAAAAAAAATTCATATTACCCCCCCATAGGGGAATATAAAACATTATCATAGTCAGTGAAATTAAATTAACACTGATCACAGCTATAGTTACTTACCTGCCCGGTAATACCGGTGATCAATGCAACTTTACGTGTAGACTTATCTGTACCTGTGGTCGCCATATTTGTGCGAGTTGGAACCGCTGAGGGTATTTTATAACTGAACCGGTCGATGACGTTGTACTTGCTGATTGGTTGCTATTAATAGAACGGGGAAATCCGTAAATTGTATTGTCACATTTTTATTCGCAATGTGTTTACTGATCGTAAATTTTTTTTCATTACTTAAAATCAACGTTTAACTTATAAAACATATTAGTTTTTCATATAATCATGGACCTGAATAGTGTTTTTCATTTTCCAAAGATTAGTAGTTAGTTAAACCAAACAAAATCCTTAATACTTTTCTTTCGGTCAAACTATGTACTGTGGTGCGCACTGGCTGTCCAAGACGAAATGTCCCACACGCGAATAAGCAACATTATTTCCAGCTTGACAACCGTCTATCGGGCACGCTTTTGGAAAAGGAGCAATTTATCGACCGCTTACTAACTTTTTTTTAACAAAAGAATTTTATTAAATTTCCTATAGCTTTTAGTTTTATTTATTATTTGCTTGTTTTTTCTAGCAGGAATTAATTTTTTTTGTTTGTCATTGCCAATTAAGCAATCAATTGTTAGTTAAGAAATTTTTAATTCAGGTGTTTCCTTTTTTAAAAAAAAAAAAAAAAAAAAAAAACTGACGATAAGTTAATATTGTTTTGGTTTGGTAAAAAAATAGAAAAAAAAAACAAACTTCGCTATCGCCCGCGAAGCGAGTGAACAAATAAAGCTTCTGCTTTCGTAAGAAGACTCTTAGGCTAAGAATGCCCGATAAACATACCCGATATATTTTAAAATGTGAACAATTAAAATACAAACTGAAATTCATAAAATAAAATTCGTATATGACTGACAGCTACATCTGGAGAAGCCGCTTGCTTACACTTACGGTGTTGTTAGATTGGAAGGTGGGTCACAAGTGTATGAGTTGAATGTTTACACCCACTGTTTCGTAGTTAGCTGAGCGGGTTTTACGTACGAAATGCACCCAGATATTTTTTGTTCTCTAAAGTGGGCCGGAAGAAATGTTAAATAAACAGACATTAAAGAAAAAAACAGTAATAATTGTTTATGGAAATACACACGGTGTTAAAATGTCACCTGAAAAAAATTGTAATTATTTTTAAATAGAAATTTCTTAAAATCATTTTTTTTTAATTATTTAAGGTAAGATTTTATAAATTTAAACAAACTGTTAAGGTTGTTTCTTTCCACGTCATAAATATAACCCACTAGTTTGGCTTATCATTTTAATTTAAGACTGCTCTAACTATTTTTCTTTTTTTAAGCATTTCACCCCAAGTAAGGAGGGAGTGCCACTAGAACACAAGGGGTTACAGAGGATTGAGAACAAGAGTAAAGAGGCGTGTTTGAGGAAAGAATACAGAGAAGGAAGGGGAACAAGCTCAGGTGTCAGATGTCCATTGACATTACACTTAAAGATTTGAAGATTATAGTCATCAGGGAAGCAAGTAAGGGAAAGGAAGTTCCACAGACGAGAAGTACGGGAGAAGAAGCTGTTTGAGAATAAGAGACAATTGCATTTAACCATTTTGACAGTGAAAGGGTGGGACTGAGGTGCCAGCCTGGTAGCTCATTTAAATTCATGTAGTCCGGGAACGAGTGAAAGTAGCTCATGAAAATATTTGTAGAAGAGACAGAGGGAGGCCATGGCACGTCTGTGTGATAGCGATTGTAGACTAGATGCCAGATCAGGACCTATCATCTTGCATATTTGTCTCTGGATTTTGTCAAGGAGCTCGAGATGTACAACAAGAGTACCAGACCATATATGACAGCAATATTCCATGCAAGGATGGATGGTTGATTTATAGATTTAAAGGATGGACTTAGACGAGGAAAACTTTCTAGCATGACACAGGGAGCCAACTTTCCTTGCGATAGATGAAGCTATTGATTCAATGTATTTATTCCACCTTATGTCAGTGGATAGTGTGAGACCAAGCAGGTGTAATGAGGCGCTCTCAAGGAGTTGGGATTCTTACATAAGATATTAATTATATAAATAAAATTCTGGATTACTCATGCCAAAAATAGCAATATTAACTTTTTTCTTAAACTTGGCCATTATTTATGATGTTAGGATTAAACTAGTCAAATAATATATAATTATTTATTGCTAATTTTTAAGATCCAAGTTTTAGTTATGATATTAGGTCAAGTCATAAGTAATTTCTGTTTTTGGGAAGCAATTTTAATGACAAATGTATTGTCTTAACTGCTAATCATATGTAGCGGTTAAGTATGAAGTTGGAGTACACTAACATACCTTAGTTTTTAAACAACAATGGCAGTTTAAACAGCGAATGAAAGGAAAAATGTTCTCCTCTATGACAACATAAGGCAACAAGCAGCAATAATAACACAGATATACACATGATTTTGCACCAACCAATCATTACCTCTTTTGATCATTGTAAAACACCTTCATGGGGAAAACTTTCACTAATGAAAAGAGTTCATAAAAAAACTTTTCCACATCAAAACTTTTGAAATTTTACTCAAAAAGGTATTATAGAAATTAAATTCTTTCTATATTTTTCAACCAATAAAATCCCAATAGAAAGTTTATTTGAAAAACAATAATTACTAGGGCAAGTACTGTCAAAATACTTGCAGACATAGTTGAAAACTTACCATGTGTTATTTTTGGACCATTTAGAAAATAATAACTCCTTTCACCACTCAAGATTTTCACAAGCTAGTGTGAAATTATTTCCAAACTAATGAAAACCTTGTATTCAAAAAGTTTACAGATTTTCAGATCCCCTTACAGATATAAAAAAATAGAATCCTACTGCTTCTCAGGGTTCACAACAATTTTGAAGACCAGTTTGATCTACATGTGCATACACACACACACATGCACATGATGAAAGAGAGAACAACCAGCAGCCATGTCCTTGTCCATGCACACAATAGAAGGGAATAACCAGCAGCTGCCAACTATGGCTTTGTCTATGAACTCACATTAGGTTGACCATCATAAAGTAAATCTGTCCACACATTTCACATTGCACTAAGAACAATTATTTTATAAAACAGACTTCACTACAAGGGAAAGTGAACATTTTATTGTTATTGTATATTTCTGAAAAGAATATATAAATATTATTTCAACTGATGTTCTGCTTCTACTTTTCCTCCAGAAAATAACTCGTCCTGGGTAAGACGTTAAACTACATCCGCATCCTGGGTAAGACGATAAACTACATCCAGCAGCAAGGCCTCTGATCAGGAGGTTTTTAGGAGCGTGGAACCACCTCTTAATTGCTGGTGTTCCCAGGTCCACCCTGACCCAGGGTGGTAGCACCTGTTAGGGTCCCAGCTATGGACAAATAGCTAACTATTACCAGCAATACTTTTTTGAAAAAAATTATTACCAGCAATACAATTTTGAAGGAAAAATATTACCAGAAACAGATTTTTGACAAAACAAAATATTACCAGCATTAAAAAATGTTGTCGGCATTAAATAACCCATTGAGGTTGATATGCCGTAAAACAAAATAAACAAAACCAAACCAGAAAATACCATTTTATATGTTTCATTTAAAAGATGTTTTGTTGTTAAATGAATAGAATCAGAAAATTCTGATAAGAACAAAAACCTGGATAGAAAAATCTCAACAGTATCAAAGATCTTCCTGATAAGTGGCATCAAGTCTTTGAAAATAATGGTGAATTATTATTGAATAGAATAAAATATAATTATTCTACAAAAGATAAAATACAAAGTTGATAAAATAAAAATTGAAATTATTTATAATTCAACTTTGTAATGAAATAATTCTTGATCCCAATTTAAGATAAAAAATTATTAATTTATAATAATCTTTTATATAACCGATATACAAAAATTAAATTAATTTTTTTAAACTAGAATATTTTAAATATTGGTAACTAGGTTCCACCATTTTACTGTTGAACTAGCTAGATGCAACTGCCACTTCTATTCTAACAGTTTCTTTTCTCGCATTTCTCACCTGTGGAACTACCTTCTGATTTCTTGCTTCAAAAATTTAAACGCAAAGTCAACCACCATCTGTCTTCCTGAACCCTGTTCCTTTATTGTCCTTTCCCCACTTCTCCCCACTAAAGTCTACTCATTCTCTTTCACTCCCTGTAACCCTCTGTATCTTAGCGGCATTATTGCCTTGCTTGGGGTGAAATGATTAAAAAATACAAAATGTTTCAAATAAATTCAATATTTAAATTTTTTCTTTTTCATAAATATTTATTCAAAGCAATTATTAGGTTGGTGCAAAAATAATGTCGTTTTTGATGTTAAGTTGAATGTCAAAAACGACATTATTTTTGCACCAACCTAATTTAATAAATATCAATTTTTATAATCAGTCTTCTATATTAATGTTTTAGTTATGTTTGTAATGTCTTGTATATTTTTTTTTAACTACAGAGTGTGCCAGAAACACCATTTGGTAAGACATTAGCTTGATGAAGACACCATTACCATGGATGTATTACCATTATGTGGGAGGTATTTCTGTTGCACCCTGTATTTTTCACCAAAAAGAAAATAGTTTTTCAAAATGAACAAATTTCTTGACAAAATACAGGCATAAAATATTTCTTTTTGTCTACTTTCTGCACAATAATTATTTTTCTCCATTTTCAATCAAAGTGGTTGCAAATTATCAAATCTTTTTTCCTTTTTCTCAATAACTGTTATACCTAATTGTTCTTTAAAATTTTTGAAATTAAATCAAACTGTTTTTTGTTCATTTTCTTATCAAAAAACATTTTAGGGTTTGTTTTTTTTTTTAATCAATTCACCCAACCATTAAGAGGCAAGGGGCTACTAGGAGTGAAAGAGAAGACTTTAGAAGGAACTAGAAACCTAATCCTAAACAGGAAACAAGTGATAAACCTCTACTCCTGTTCAAAAGGCTTGGAAGGAGTGTGAATTGGGCAATAAGTTATACTGAACTCAGAATTAGGATATGATCACTGATATGTTTTTACATTTAGAACAGGTCTACAAGTTGAATAATATTAAA